GCTTGCCTTCTTCTCCCTGCCCCTGGATGAGGAGGGGTCTTGGGCTGCCCTGCGCCAGCAGTGCCATCCTGTAGCACCAGTATGCACTCCAGCAGCCACGGGTTTGCATCTGTAATTAATGCATCAAATCTGACAGAGTCACATTCTACGGGGGCACAGAGGGAGGGAGAGAGGAGAGGGGCGCCCAATGTAAAGGCATGCACAAGTGAGGTATGAACACACGGATGCTAAGTTACTCCTGAAGAGTAGCTTTGTGTAGCAGAAAACAAGATTCCTTCCCCCAAAATTAGCTGGTATTCCGATACATAGTAGAACAAAGCACCGAAATTCCTAAGATTCCTTAGGCAGGATATCAAATCTAGGAAATATGTCAAAAGTAGTAACTCAGCAAATTTTAGTTGCTGTATTATAAAAGGTTTACTTTGTAATGCTAAGCAAGTGTTACCAAAAAAATTTTTCTTCAGATATTGTCCAGGGCTATACATCAAGAGTGGACAGCATCTCAACTAGGACAGCCTAAGAGAGTTTGCCAGATGAGTTTACGTGGTCCAGCCAAAGTTCAAGCTAACTGTTAATAGCCAGGTTTAGTATCCAGTCAGCGAAAGCATACTTGAGCCTTAGGGAACACAGAGCAGAAACACGGATGACTTTCTACGGGGAGAAATCCTCCCTGTCAGTAGGGAGCAGACTGCCTCTCTTGACTAGAGGGCCTCATCCCTGCAGCTGGTGTCGCCAAGGCCATGATGCAAGAAAACATGAGAACTTTACTTGGCTATCAACTGCCAGCCTGGTAACTGTGCAGACAGAGCAGAATGTATATTTCCTGTAGTCTAGTGGTCAAGTCTGCAGCATAACACCTATACCATCCCTCTCACCAGCAGTTCCAGACTGTCACAAGCTTTGACACCCGTTTCCTTCTATGGTGACAATATACATGTCAAAAAGATTACTTGCTTTGTAGCCTTTGCTAGCACCTTTTAATAGTAACAGGAACACTGTAAGCCTTCTAAAAACCTAAGATTTAGTGAGATGTGAACAACAGATATTTATATGTCTGGCATTTCAATGTATCTCTGTTAAGATCTTAATCCTAGAGACTGACCGACTGGCCTACGCCTAACTTTGCAACAAAAAATGTAAAAGAAAATTAAAGGTGCAGGAAGGGATAATCTAACTTTCTTGACTTGAAAACTCCATTTTATCTACTCTCTGTAGAAGCAGAAAACATCCTACAGCAGTTACTTTAAATTTCTCAATTGTAATTTCAATACAAGAGTATTAATTAACAAGCAAGCTCAAGAAAGTTGCTACCCATCAAAATCATCTACTTGCTGCTAACGCATAAAGTTGGTGAAAGATCCACAGTGTACGAAGCAGCACGCCCTGAGGTCAAGTACTCAGGCTCCAGATCAAACTTTAGATCTGGAATTGCAGGGTTAATTCAATTCCAATGTAGGTCCCCTGCTGAGGTTGCTTCCCAAAAGCGGCAGCAAGGTTCTGCTGGTACAGAGGCTACTGGACAGCTCTAACATCTGTGGGGTGCAGGAAGAGTGGAGGGAAGGACCACAGAGCATCCATCGCTGGGGCATCCCTGTGACAGCCTAATGCCGAAGCCTCCCAAAGCCCAGCACCGAGCCTGCTCGTGAGCTGGTGCTCGTAGCCACCTCCCAGAGCTGCTCACATGAAGATCTGGATTCCCAGCATTAGAAAGGCTGTCTCCTCTACTCAGAATGACAAGGTTTTGTGTGTGTGTATATTATCTAAGGGCACAGCTGACAAGTACACCCCACTTCGGGAACGCTCCCAGAAGGTTTGATCAGACACAAGACACACAGAACAATTTAAATACTGTTCAATCTTGCTGCTGTGCACAAGTCTTGTCAAATGTGCTTTTATATATGTAAATCCCTTTGTAAAGATTTGCATCTTTCATAGTACTTACCTATAGTAGCAACTCTCACCGTGATTTTGAAATCTAATTAAACCAAGCCCTTGCCTAGCTCCATTGCTACAACTCATCTTGCCTTGTTTTGTCACACCAGTATTCAAGTTTGTAAAGATGGTCTGACAGATGGCATGTTAAGCAACTCACTTGCTTTTGGGCAGTATAAGTATTATCCAGGTTAAGATATTTATAATCCAGATGTTATACTGTCATGCCTGACAGGTATGGATTCACGAATTGAAGAATAAAAACTCCTGAAAGGACTTTAATTAGTTGTAATCCCTACCCTATGCCTTAATATGGAAGGAAAAACCCCACAGTTATCAATAAAGGAATCAAAAAATAGAGTTAACATTTCTAGAATCTTAAAATGTTTCCTAATTCTTGACTACTCTGGAATATTCAGTGCTGAGGTCTAATCTACTTTAATTTTTCTCTCAGCCTGCAAAGAGATTAATTTTACATGTCAGTTATTACTTACATTTTAAATGTCTCCCAATTATATTTTTTAAAAATGATTAAAATTAACTAAATTGTAATTTTCTCCCCCTTATTAAAAGGATCTTTACTATTCCAAGTAGTGTTAAAGCTCAAACCCCTGCACTGGATACCAGGAGATACAGGTTTGATTCCCAGCTCAGCTACAGATTTACTAACTGACCTAGGCCAAGTTAATTCTCCTGTATCTTAATTCTCCTCTTCTCTGAAGCATGGATAATGCTCTATTCCCCCATCATCCTGCCTTTTCCACTTAAGAAACTGAGGCACTTAAAACACCCAAGAGAAGGGCTCTTACTTCAGTTGAAACTTTAGTCCTTTTCTTGCGTGTCTGACCTATCCCATGAGGGGGATAGAAATCACATCTAGGCTTTCAAACACTGGACATAAAATTTGAGTTACTAATCCTTTATCAAAGTACACAAATGCCTACATTACTTCAGCTTTGAAAGGCAAGGGACTAACTCTTTTGGAAGAGAGGGTTTCCATCCCTAAGACTAATCTTATATCCAGCGTTTCCAAGGCTGTTTGTTAGGGATCAACTTCCAAGCAGTATTCATGTATTAACTGCAGCTAGAATTGATATCAAGGCAGCCATAGCTGCAAATACACCTAATCCAACCGTAGCTAAACTACAAAACTGTAGGAGAACACAAGTACTAGAATATGACAGTATCATATATCCAAGTATAATATATTTGCTCCTTCCATCCACCTGAGCTTGGCTGGGAAGTGTAACAATTAATACAGACTGGATGATTGCTAGTGTCACTGCATCTAGAAACAGAGAATGGGTTTGCTATTTAATTTCTTACAAACTGCGAGAATCATTCAAAAACTCACAGCACATTTCAGTTCCATCTCAGTACTGGTAAGCAAGCACACAGGCGCTTAGAGTTCTTCAACAATAGTCAGCTATGAGCACTCTCCCTCACATAATGATCTGCCACCAAAATGTGAGAGCTCAGATCAGAAGCGATGGCACATGTTAGACTGGCCTCTGAGCCCTTCTTGTTCCAAAGACAACAGCAAACACAAGCAGCACGCAAAGCACCCGGTGTCCCTACTAGTCAAATAAAGTTGGTATGTTCCATTTCATCTTCACTGATGCTTTATAGCGACTATGACTATGTAAGAACATTGAACCTCTCTATTTCTTTCTGGGTAACAGAACCAGACAAACACAACACCGAAACTTGCTTTGCTCTACTCCCACCTTTATATAAGTTACATTTCAATTTTGCTAGAATGTTAATATTCCCTCTAAGTCAACAGTCTTCTGACCCTTCCAAATGGAAATAAAACCTTCCATCTAACATACTCGGTATCTAATCACACAGCACATAAGTATAAAATAACTATGCAACAAAAAGCAATTGTGTTAACACAAATCTATGCTCTTGTTTGTTAAAAAAAAAATCATGTCTTCTTAAGATACAGTTCTTCAGTGATATATACATTAAGAAATTTTAAATTTCCTCATCCTATATTTCTTTAACTTAACAGGACACCTTTCTACTCCCTCATCTGTAGTTTCTGCACTTCTATCCCCCTCCATAGCCCACCTTCACTCTCTCCCCTCCAGCCTGAGCACACTGGGTTCTGCCAGCCCCTTTTGTGCTTCATCCTGCCCTGAGCAGCTGGCTGGCCCTGCACCGAAGTATCTCGAGTCTCAGTGCCATTGCTGTGCCATGAAACCCCCAACCAGGCACAGCACATGAAACACAGCTTCAAGAGCACCAAACAGAACAGTCGCCCCCTTGACCGGCTGGCCGCAGTCTTGCTGGTACAGCCCAGTGCGTGCCCTGTTCTGTGAAGTCTCCTCCTGAAGCTACAAAAGTTCATCTTCTCTTCTAGGTCTTAATGCCTTTTATTTTGAAATTTTTCCCACCTGTGACGTCTTACTAGAAAGCTTGCATTAAAGTAAATAAATATGCAATTCACTTAAGACCCAGAACTGCACTTTACACACACAGAAGCTGGATCACCACAGCATCACAACTGGAACATGCTCTTCATCAGTTGTACCACCCCCAGAGACTGCACCTAGCAGCGAGTCACAGAGAAAAGTCCTGCGGTGGCTGGGCAGCAGTGGCCACAGAGCTAGCCCAGACGCTCGGCACCACACCAGCGGCTCAGGCTCTGTGCCCTCTGAGCCACTACACGGGCCTCACACCTGACATGTGGCCTGAGCAACGCGTAGCACTGAAATATGCATAATATCAAATGCTGAAGTGGAATATTGGAGATAAAACTTCTTTTGGAAATGACAAAGTTTCCGCAGTAGTATTTCCCAGGACCTGGGAAGAAGGCTCCCAATTCAATTTACTTCTCCATGTGGATACACATTAATTAACCCAACTCCGAGCTGCTCGAATTGGCAACATCAGCAGCACAGAGCCTGAAGCGCACGAACTGCTCCTGTTAGCACCGAGGGGCAAACTACACTCATTACAAAGTCACCACAAGTGTAACTAAGAGGAAGTAGAAGAAAACATTTCATTCTTATTCCTGCAACTTCAGGTCTAAAATTGGAACGTGTTCTTTTGTTGCAGACATGGCAGAGCCAATTCAGCAGCTGACCAGAAACAACAACCCCCAGGAGAGGCAGACCATCCCCTTTACTCTGATACAGCGCAAAGAAAAGGTACCGTTTCCCTTCCCAGTGGAGGTCTTAACAGCCTTTTCAGTATTCATACTGCTTCTTTATAAAATTATTTTAACCATTTCAGATTCTTAACACGATAAGTGCAAAGCAGTATAACTGGATAACTACATTCCATTTTTAACATCTCACCATTTTGATGGGTGAATTTTTCTTTTTTTTTGTAAGGTAGAAACTATCAGGGAAGTCAGAGGGTGGCCAGGAATTACAGTCTTAATGGCATCTTAGAATTAGTTTAACAAAAATCCCTCATACTTAGACATTTGAAATAAGATGCCTATTTTGTTTACAGCTCAGGAAACATGTAAACAAGTGTCTAACCTTAAATACATGACAAATCAAGAAATCTTTACTAACCATGTATGAAGAATTCTTGTCACATTTCTTTTAAATAGATCTATTTAATTCTAATTTATAAATATCACAATTTGGTTGAGTGAATTTCATCTAAACAGTTTGGGACTCCTGACTATGTTATAATAAATGCTTGAATGCAATTTCTAAGTACTACTGTAATAGCTGCAGTCAAAAAAATAAGGTTATTCAGTGTTAATTGCAACTACATATTTAATACTGCAAGCCCAAAAGACGACAGTTCCTTACTTTAAAGGAGAACTACCTAGAAGTCTACTGAAATAAATTTTAGTCCAAGATCCCTTCTTGGGATATCCCTTCTTGATCTATATGAGGAAGGGTTGAAATTCACGTGGTCCTTTCAAGATCATTTCACTGACAGTTGAAAAAAAGATACAGTTATTCTTGTACTCGAGTAAGATGCATACACTGCATTGGTGTTGAATATCTACTACTTACATACCAGTTTGGGCCTTGAAATGAAGCACAGGGGAACTAACTGTTAAACAGAATGTACTTAAGGTACAGCTGACACCGAGACTTAAAATCGTTCTTCATGCTTGCTGTTCTCCTGGTCATACACCTAGAGAAATTGATTTATGCTCTAAGTAAAGCACGGAAATATTGTTTGACTTCCATTTGTTTGCTTGGATTTTTTAGCTGATTAACTTAAAATACAAAATTATCATCTTAATGTATTTGCAGCTTGGAGACCTCCTTTACGAAAAACGTCAGTATGGAAAAGCCAAGTGGGCTTGTATAAAAATGGAAGAAAAGCAGTATGAACAGAGCATATGCCTTGGATTCATGAAGCTGATGAGGTACATCTGTGAGCAGAATTCCTCAGGTAATTTGTACCACAATTGTACATGAAAGTTAAAACATGATATTTATGCACTAGCTCCTCCTAATTGGGGAAATACTTGTATTAGCCATTTCCAAATCCTCCACCCTGTCTGTATGGACCTTTTCCTGTAACATAGCTGTTGAGCAGAGCCTAAACCACAGCACTGCTCCCCCTGCACACATGCTAGAAAAGAACATCTGCAGGAAGCGATGACTGTTTCCAATGGCATTGTGACCACTGCAACTGCCGGGGAAATGACACTGGCTGTTCTTGTAGGCTGTCAGCTATAAATCAGGCTTTTGCTATATAATTTCAGCGGTTTAGTTTTCACAGAAGTACTGAAATTGCCCATTCTAAGAACTGTTCAGAATGTAATGCCCAGAGACCATAATGTTTTGCCTCTTTTGTTTATGATCCTTAACTTGTGCATGTCTGAGGGGACACCAAAAATTTGTGTGGTTGATGAATATTTCCAGTAAGCTAAACCAGTTTTAACTCACGTACTTAAAATACTGCCAAGTCCACCATGTCCTTGATAGCTTGTTGCCTGCGTGAAAAATATGCACCTAGTTTCCAACCCAATTTAATCTAGTTTCAACTTCCAGCCACCAGTTCTCATTTTTTTCATTCTCCAGTTGATTAAAAAGAGTTGCAACGCCCAGTGTTCTGTTCTGCAATAGTACATGTGTTGTCATGAAGTCAGCCCTTAATTTTCTTTCCAAGAAACTAAGAACATTGATCATGAAAGCTTTTCCTTAATGAGGTATTTTCCCCACTCTCCCTATTCTTTTAACATTTCAACATGGTTTAAAAGTACTTTTGGCTCCAGAACAGAGCAGTTTTGGTTTCAAACTGTGTACAGAAGCAAAGTTCCCACTCCTAGCCATCACTGCTACCTGCAAGTCAGAATCACCACCTCTTCCTATAGCACCACACAGATACAGCAACATGTCTGATAACAGCAAATCCTAAATGAATTCACAGTGCAGCCCCCTTGTCTTGCCTACATTGTTCCCAAATATTTAAAACAGAACACAAGGTCAGTTTACAGGACAAACACAACCCTCTTAAGAGGGGGAAAGAAGTTAAGTCTGACTCCTTGCCCTGCGTGAAGATAGGAGAGCTCACCAAATACCACATTTTAGACACATGTGCACACCTATTTGCACATGTAGGTTTTAGAGATACATATACACACACACACAAAACTAGCACAATAAAATGCTACTTCCACTTGGAATACACGAACCCGCTTTCTGAAGCATCCTACTGATTTCCTTTTAGTAATGAAACTCTTCCTGCTCTGTGGTACTCTGTGTTGTTCAGTACGAGTTCAGAAGTCAAGCACAGTATGTAGACCTCCTTTTGTAGTTTCTAAGTCCTGTATGTCTCCTCAGGACTGTACCTGGGGATAACAATACCCATTGTGACAATAGTCCACACAAACGAAGCTCAGTCGGAGATGAGACAGTCAGTGACAGTAGCGTACTACCTGCCTGAAGTGCTGCAGGACGAACCACCTCATCCTTTTGACTCTGACATAATCATTGAAGAATGGCCTTCTACTATTGTTTATAGTAGGTAAGGAACATTTTAATTTTGTTCTAGTAAAAACAGTAAAATGATGCAGTTTTCAGTTTGGGTGTGTTACATCTTTTAAAGAGGATCTGCAAGGTAACAAACAGTAAAACTTGATTTTTAGTAATTGTTAAAAGCTGCTTGCTTTATCAAACTGGGATATTCAGGAAATACTGGTTACCAGCTTAATTGGGAAAATGATGCATCTGTAAACATGAGATATAACAGCATCTCAAAACACAGACTAGCGTGTGGAGCTGGGAACAAAGCATCTTACATATCACTGAAAATACTAAGAAAAAATCTGTTATCTGAGATCAGTCACAGTTAGGTAGTAACTGTGAAACATGACTAAATAATTTAGAAGGAGGCATTTCTAGGCTCTGGAAAAAAACTGTGGATTTTAAAAAGAACTTGATATGAAGTTGATTGTTACAGGAGCTTCAGAGGCATCACCAATGAAGACTCTATAATGAGAGAAATAAACCTGTTGGCGGAAATTCTGGAGAGTCCCGAGTTATGTTTGCAGGATACATTCATCATTGCAGGATACACAAACCCAGCTGCTGCCAACCGACACAATGAGATATGGTTCCTTCAAAGGCCATAAGAATCAGTTCTGATTTACAGATGAATCACAAGAGATGATGTCAAACCCTCCAAGATTGTAGAAACGGCTTTTAGCCAGTTCAGAAAGGTAATCACTCCAACTTAATAGTCAGAGGTAACACCTGAAACTTACATGGTTTCCTATGTCAAATTTTACAGTTCTTACACAATTTTTACGGAGATTTTTAGCACTTCAAGAACTAGTTCACCTTATCTTTTTTACAAGATAAGGGAGACAGAGATCTCTCTCCTCATCTACTTATTAGCATCTCTAGACTGCTTGTGGCTTGGGACAGTCCTAGGCGAGACCCTGGAGCCCCTACTCTGGGCTCCAAGTGCTGCACCAGCTACACAAAGGTCCTTTTGGGGCTTCCAGTGGGACACACATTAAAACCACCTCACACATGCAGGCTACGCTTCAGAAAAAGAAGGTTCAGATCTTAATTTCTGAAAAGAACTACCAGATTTAGACCACTGGGATTAAACCAAGGAATAAGATTAGGCCAATGCTGCCTGCTTTTAATGTCATCATCTGTGGAGCAGAGATTCTTGATGCTAACCCCAAAAAGCATTCAACTAAGCACTTTTAACCTTCAGACCAAAAGACCGAACAGTCCTAATGCTCGTTAAAGTTTTGATAGCAGAAGTTACAGGTTACCTTAATCACACACTCCCAGCAATCCCACAATTACATTTGGCATTCCTAAACAGAAAGTGGTTATTCTTAACTCTTCTGTTCTCCGAACACTTCCATCTTATAACTTTGCTGAATGTAACGCTGCAGCTGAAGTAAATAATTTGTTCTGAACTTTTTACACTCTTCTGGCAGTACAACGCTACTAATGTTCTAAATTATACAAATATTTCACAGAATCACTGAAAAAAAATGTAAGCTAGAAGTGAGCTCTGGCAGTCAGCTGGTCCAGCCCTCTGCGCGCTGTGGCAGAGGCAGCTGCTCCGGGCCTCCCACGCCTGGGTTTTGAGCGTCTCCAGGGATAAGGAGCCTCTAACCCCTCTGGGCCCTGTTCCAGTATTTGACCACTGTCACTGTGAGAACTTTTCTTCCTAATTTTCCCTGTTGCAGCCTGTTTCTTTTACCCTTATCCATGTGATAAGTCTTGAAGTAGACAACCGCTAGTCCAGCACGCTGTGATTGGAAGAAAAGCTGGTGTAGTACCACATTGCGTCAGGAAGTCTGAAAGCAGCACTCACGCTTTGCAACGTGCTACAGTGAAAAAACACCTACTGCACTTTAGAATTGGGGTAGCAAACAGTTTTTCTCTCAAAAATCCCTTCTTAATGTCTCCCCTTACAGATATGATGGTAGAGTTTAACGTTAACACTTAATAGAAGTGAACGTCTTTTTAGTATATCACCAGCGTTATTGATTATATGTTTTAGGCTTTAATAGAGCTTTCGTGTTACTCAGTTACACCATACAGCACAGCAACCAGAGCTGGTGTCTGCTAGCTTATAGCAGCATTAATTAGCAAACACAATGGATGTATGCAGTACTTCTAAATAAATGTACAGGTCTCAAGAACTTGAGGCCTCCTGGTTCCACAAGGCTCTCTGCTGCACAAAACTGACTTTATCCTTAACCTAAAACCTCTTGCTGAGCAGCAGAATCAGAGGGTGCCAGCTGGTCCTGCTGCTGAACAAGGTGGCCTCTGATGGCTGCTGTCCGCAAGCAGTCCTTGGGGAGATGGCAAGGAGAGGGGAAAAAAAGGAAAAGAAAAAAAAGAGAGAGAGAAAAAAGCCTTAGTTTTAATACAAACAGTCTTAACAGTCTTTCTGGGGAGGGGAAAAAAAAAAAAAAAAAAAAAAAAAAAAAAAAAAAAAAAAAAAACAAAACAACACACAAACCCAAGAAAAGCAATCCTCTCTTCTTCTTCTGAATGTCTGATGTCCCCAGCTCTTCAGGTACCCTGCACTAGTCCAGCACAGACATTTGCATTGCCACAAATCAATTGGCTTTTAAACTGATGGGGGGAACCTCAAAAAAGACTGTGGGTTTGGGGTCTTTCTTATTCCAACCAGAAAGCTATCAAATCCCGTTTGCCAGGTGACAGCACAAATGCTTGGGCCAGTTGTGGCCACAACTAGGAACCACTTAGGTGTGGCAATTTAAATGCACATCAAAGTATTTCTCACTTAGCAGAACCAGATGATGAAAGTACCTGTCATGTCTTTTATTCCTCTCAATTTGTTCAAGATACAGGATCACAGCCAGGGGGAGAAAAAAAAAAAATATATCAGACTTCCTTTTCAGTAGGTTGAATTGCTTCCTGCTTGATTTTTATTTATTTTGGTTTTTATTTATTTTTAACATTTTCTCAGATTGTTGGAAATGCCAGCCAGTATTAAAGTGAAAGCTAACAAATAATGGAAAACAATAAAAAGTTGTTAAAAACTGCGTTGAGTAGAGGACCCAGGGAAGCATTAAGTAACAGGTTTTGTTTTGCCCCCTCCCCACTCCCAACAAGATTCTTATATGAGCAAATGAAAACAATTTTCGCCTTTGACATGATTTTATGGCAAACTAAAGAAGTTTCTGCAATTTGATTGCTTTTGCCAGGTCTAGAAATTATTTTAATGCTTTGGTACCACAAATGTCAAATAGCTATTGTGTGTAGTTAACTCCTCTCACCATAAAGTACCAGGTTGTACATACTTCTCATTGTAAATGTCTACTGCAAAAAGCATTTGCTATATCTTATGTCTCTTTCCATAGGCAATCTTCACCTAAATACTTCTGTGACTCAGCTACTTGTGGGTATGTTATAGAAACATTCTTGTTACCGAAATATAAAAATAAGGTATTTATCTGAATGTGCTGATATCCTAACCACAGCAAAGTGTTCAGTGTTGTTTTATGTGAAACTGTGAATTCCAAGATAGTATTTATTTTTACTTACGTTAGACGGCTTCTGCTGCTGAGAAAGAACCAATTAATCTCGAGTTTGAAGGTACAGTTTATGGCTATGGAACATTGTACCAGCTCCTGTCAATGGCCCTCACGGGCACGGGCATGAAGAATTGTGGTTTTTCACTGACACACAATAAAGTTTACTTAACAGTTACACCAATGAATGCCAAGGAAATGTTACTATTTCTCAAATATAGAATTTTAGAAAGTTTGAAAAGATCACGTCAAGCATGATTACCTAACTCTTTTTATCAGAATAGGTATTTTATTGTCCATTTGTGGCTCTACATTGTAAGCCATTAATGAATTGATTTTCATTTTTAATTCAAGGTTAATATATTTCCACTACTCAAAGGAGACGATAAAACAGAATTCACCCATATTTTTTGAAGATTAAATGACGTAGCCTTAACAGATAAATGTTGTCCTGCATACTGTGTATTTTTCAAACAAGCATTAGTGCCTAAAAAGCTTATTCCGGCTATTGCGATACTCAGGGCCTTGCTTATTGTATGTATACAAATATAAATATAATTTTTCCAGCATTGTTGCTTTGTGCTGTTTTACACTGTCCTTCATTTTCACCGAAATGTTGTCTTGTTTACTGTTACTGTTTGTCAAAATTAAAGATAATTATTTTATTGTGCAGTGTACAGCTGGCTTTCATTTTTGTAACAGACATAAAAAGCCTTTTGCTATCTTTCCTCCGAATGGGAACAGCAGAAGTCACAAACTACTGTTCCGATTTTACAAGAGCCATTTACGCCCCAAATTTGAAATGGTTGTTCTAAGACCTAAAAAACTTAAATAACTTTAAAAAAACCACACATTCTTTGCAACAAACGCGTACATTTGGAGCTATGCACCTACGTGCTGCAGCCAGCAGGTCTGCCAGCAAACTCACTCCTCCTCCCTGCAGAAGACACCTGTAACCCCATTTTTGTCAAGCGCCCAGCACAGTCTCCCACCGTTCTTACTGCAGCACAGCCTGGGGTAGGACTCGTTTCAGAATCACACTGTAGAGAACCAGTACTTAACAAAGAGCGATGTGTGTATTTGAGTTCTCTCCTAAATCCTGATGCTGCTCCGAACATACTTCACAGCTGATTCTTTTGGCAGAGGACAAGGATAATGCAACATGTACTTGTTGCTTCCATGGCTGCACTCCTGTATCTATCCTGATCTCAAACCGCTTCAAAGCCAAAACACAGGAGCACAGTAAACAGTGTAATTTAACTGCAGGGCATGGCTGCAGTCCATCGCTGTGCTGCAGAAAACTGCACAACTACAGAAACAAACACCTCTGCAGAAACTGAGGTGCAGGAACCACTTTTGAAAGTGCTGAGGTCTCTAAGACTAAGGCTTGGCTTGCCCACAGACACAGGAAAAGGCTGGGGCACCATCCTTTCACGCCCTCTGTGTTGTTACAAGTTGTATTTTCTAAGTAAAGCAGCAACAATACAAACGCAAATACCAGATCAGAGAAAGGAAATAGAAACCACTTAAGCCACAGCAACAACTTAGTCAAGGTTTGTCTATATTCCTCAATTACACCAGATTAGCCAAACCTACAGTTTATTTCAACTTGAATCTCAAGTGAAACACCACGTGAGACCCCACCTGGAGTACTGTGTTCAGATGTGGGGTCCCCAACATAAAAAAGACCTGGACCTGTTGGAGAGAGTCCAGAGGAGAGCCAGGAAATGAATCAGAGGGCCGGAGCACCTCCCCTATGAGGACAGGCTGAGAGAGTTGGTGTTGTTCAGCCTGGAGAAGAGAAGGCTCCGAGGAGACCTAATAGCAGCCTTCCAGTGCTGAAAGGGGGCTACAGGAGAGATGGGGAGGGACTCTTCATCAGGGAGTGTAGTGATAGGACAGGGGGTAATGGGTACAAGCTGAAAGAGAGTAGATTTAGACTAGACATTAGGAAGAAGTTTTTCACTGTGAGGGTGGTGAGGCAGTGGCCCAGGTTGCCCAGAGAAGCTGTGGATGTCCCATCCCTGGAGGGGTTCAAGGCCAGGCTGGATGAGGCTTTGGGCAACCTGGGCTAGTGGAGGGTGTCCCTGCCCATG